TCCCCGAAGGGGCCCTGGCGCCATCCCTGTTTCTTACTATTGAAACTGCATTACAATGTTAGGAACTTTGTATACAACTTTACCATAATCCTAATTTATAAGGTTGTTGTATTTATCGCATACATCTCAGTTTTCTTATATTTTCTAAATTTATAATAGAGTCTTGTAAGTTGCTGAATTTTTAACATTGTTTAAACTTACAACTGAATTTTGTGTGCTTTTGTATCAACACATAAGTTAATGACATGATCAAAGTTAGCAATGTTGTCTGCTTCATCATGCTGAATACAGTAGTACCAAAGCAGATAGTCTCGCTTTTCCCATCGTGGATCTGAGATAATAACAGGATGAGCTTTAGTGATGTAGTCATTTCAGAATAGGATAAAAAACAAGAGAAAACGGTCGATATGGACTGAAAAGAAATCACAGTCTATGAATTTGCCAATAAAAACAACTACATTCGGATTCTTATTAAAATATTCATGCCTGACGAAATACATCAATTTCGTCGTGTTTTTTTAAAAGTTTTTAGTTTTTTACTCTCATTCTCCCATTTCAGCGCCCCCTCAAACGTGGCGCCCGGGGCACTTGCCCCCCTTTGATCCCCACTAGCTACGCCACTGACCTTTATTTTTTCTAGTGTAGGGTCGTTTCGGCCCCGAATCCATTCGACCTGGGTCGGTTTGGCCTTGAGTCGTTTCGGCCAGTCTTAATTACTGCAATTCTCTTTTTCACGCACATCCTAAATCTAAAATTCTCAGACTCCAGAGGCTTCAAAACTCTGCAAAACTCGCTGCACGAATTATAACATTCACAAAACGTCGCTCTCACATCACCTCTGTTCTCCGAGACCTGCACTGGTTTCCCATTGATTCACGCATTTTAGTTCAAAATCTTGCTACTTACTACCAAAGCATGTCTGTTTATGCAACCTATCTAGGCCTATATTCATCAGCTTAACCATTATGTTCCTGGACGCACCCTGAGATCATCTGAAAATCTTTAGCTCTCCGTTCCCCGTATATCCTTAAAAACTATTTACCATAAATCTTTTTCGTTTGCCGCACCAATTTATTTTTATTTTATTTTATTTTTTAATTTCTTGTTTAACCTGGGTTAACAACTCAGTTGAAAACCAGTTGTTATCCTTATGTGCCCAGGACACGATACACAAAACATAAATCCTTATCTACTTACTTTAATAATAATAGAATAATTCATAAGAAAAATTCATAATGACAATAATAATAATAATAATAATAATAATAATAATAATAATAATAATAACATTAATAGGATTAATAGGATGAGTCGAATGGCCGAGCAGTTAGCAGGGGCGCTGCAAGCTGTAGCCACTTGTTCTGGTGGTAGAACAAGTCTTCTCGGATAAAGACTATAAACCGTAGGGACTATAAACCGTAGGCCCAGTGTATACAATGGCTCGTGTGCACTATAAAGAACCCTGTACATCCTTTGAGACGAGTAGGGGGATACCCCGGTGTACTGGAACAGACAGCCTCTGTGGTGGACGACGAGATTTGCTGGTACCGGGTTAACGGGTAGCACAGACACGAAGGGACCCTTAGGGGCGAAGAAAGTCATTGATCGAGTTCCTAGTCCACATTTCAAGCGCCCTGAGCATCTTACATTTGATGGATTTGTGCGCTATATAAAACTACACTATTATTATTATTATTATT